TGGTTTTTGAGGAGAGGGGAGTACCGGAGTACCCAGAGAAAAACCTCTCAGAGCAGAGTAGAGAACCAACAAACTCAATCCACTTATGATCCCAGTTCCGGGAATCGAACCCGAGACACATTGGTGGAAGGCGAGCGCTCTCACCACTACACCAACCCTGCTCCCCACTAAAGAAGCTCTTGATTGTGAAACAAATTCACTTTACCTAGCACCTTGAGAAATGTATAGAAAACAGTCTTAAAAAATACAGAATAAATGTATACTGATGTTAGGGTGGAGAGAGTTCAAAAAGAATATTTTTGCAGTAGCAAGATGATTTTTTGGGCAAATGTTCACTAAGTTTTCAACTGTATGCCACAAACATCAAGTCATGAAAAAGTTGGAACATATGTCATGGAAGCCAATCACAATTTTGTCAAATAGGTGACTTTACTGCCAAATTTAGTCCCTCAGTTTTCTATTCTCCCTTTGGCAACCAAAACAGTTGCAGCTTGCATTGGAGAACTGCTTTTTTGATATTTTCTTATAAGCTAAATGTGGTCCCATTCTTCATTTTTCACATGTAGGAGTTTGTGATCCATACACCAAACTATGAAGCTACAAAGTGTTGGGTTGGCAACTTGGGAAGAACTGCTACTCATGCCATAGTATATGCACAACTTTACACACCTGATGGGGTCTGCCATGGACTCCACTCATTTGTTATTCAAGTACGAAGCACCACAGATCTCTTACCAATGCCTGGGGTGACTGTGGGAGATCTTGGAGAGAAACTGGGTCAAAATGGATTAGATAATGGGTGAGTTAACAAGATCAGACCTCAGTGACTTCCATCAGGTGATATTTATGTCACATTTGATGACTGCAGACTGGTAATCATTACCATCTAGGCATGTCATGTTCAAGGGGAGAGGATTGGCACAATTGCATGGACCTTGTGTTCTGTTCGCACTAACCCTTCCGGGTCTAGTCACACCTGGTAAAGTCGTTGAAACAAAAAAAACAAAACAAAACAAAACATTTTCAAAGGGTAGGCCAAGTCTAGGGGCTGGACTAGGTACAAGACAAAAAACATCCAGATATTGGCATCTCTGTTCATCACTTGAATTGACCCATACCAGAATAGCTGATGTCAACATACTCATTTGGTTTAAGGTTTGTGTCTTTTAACCATGTTCGTATTCCACGGGAACACTTGCTGAACAGAACAGCTGATGTGACACCTGCAGGGAAGTATGTTACACCGTTTAAAGACCCAAACAAAAGATTTGGTGCTGCACTGGGTGCTTTGTCTGGTGGACGAGTTGGGATAACAAGTATGGCTGTAATCAATTTGCGGTTGTGTATGCCTATTGCTATAAGGTAGGAGTCTGTCCAGTAATACTTAGATCAACTATATGTTACAAGCTTATTTTGAAAAGATAATGATAACAGTGATCTGGAATCATTGTTAGTGGTCATTTTCAGCCAGGACATATGCAGAATGTTGAAACTTAATTTAGCCTAAAATATAATATACATGAAGCTCATTCTTCAGTATGGGGTTAGGCTCTTAAATAGTTATGCCTGTGCATGTGGCATGTGGCATGTGATTCACTCCTTTGTGAAGCTTAATATCTAAGTTTCAAATTCTGTCTCAGGTACTCTGCTGTTCGAAAACAGTTTGGCCCACCTGGAAAGGATGAAATTCCTGTATTAGAATATCAAATGCAGGTTAGTGAAGGTTCACTGGTGTATTTGTGTTTGAGGATCAGTTAATTTAACTTTAGGATCTGTTTGCTAGTTGGTAACTGAACTTTGCACAAAAATTTAAAAAGGCCTTTTTTTGGATCAGGTTACATGAAAGTCTAAATTAAGATGTATTTATGCGAAGATTGCTAGTAAGAAGTTTACATTCTAAGTCTGCAGTGTAGTGATATCTTTAAAATAGACTTTAAGAGATCTTTGATAATGTAGCATGCAATTTGTAAAAAATGGTTTGTAGATTACTAAATAAATGTTATCATGCTATTCAGAAATTTGAGCATACCAATTTCATCCCTAACACCCTTACTCTA